GGGTGCAGCGCCGCGGCTGACAGCGCCGCGCTCCCGGTCCCTTCCCGCAGCTCTCAGCCGCTCCTGCCAGGGTTCTCCCAGGGCCGGCCCCCCCCGGCCGCCTCGGATTTAGGATTAACTCGCCCGCGGGGAGATGGTCGTGGCTGAATTCTTCCAAGTAAGTGCGAGGTCTGGGTTGGCGAGCGAGCGTTCCGTGGTTTTTAAGTGGGGGAAAATCAAGCCTGCTCCCCGGGGGAAGATCCTGCGCTCTTCCTAGATGTGTCTGTCTCGTCCCTTCGGGATCGCTGGTGGCAGGCGTACTCCTGCCTGTGACTTTCCTAGCAGCAGTTCTCTATAATTACATACGGTGGGTAGCTGCCTGGTGCCTCACGACCTAAAGCAGACTCTGCATTCTGGAGGAATAGCCCGTTTCTTGTAGAATTTGCATCCGTCTTTCTTGTTCACACCTCTTTTCTGTGTCCTCTCATCAACATCTGCATCTGGCGTCCGTACATGGCAGGCAGGTTTCACCACACTCGCGGCGGGGTGGTTTGCAGGGTTTTAGAGCAGAATCAGGCTCTCCTTTCTGCTGCTGGGATGTCCTCTCCTTCATCCCTTCTTCCTTCCCTAGAAAAGGAGCAGAAATAGATGGTCACCTGGGCTGACAAATGAGAGTTGGATATTCCTTGCTGTGGAATATGAAAACTGATTATACGCATTTCCTCTCTTTTCCAAAGCCTTATGTCTTGTTAGTGTCAAGTACTTCTGAGCTGTCTCCATAATAGGACGCTTCAGGGACCAGCCACTGGTGTGACAGATCTTTCCTGCATGACCTTTGCTCTTTAGCATTTTATTTCATATAACTGTCTTTTTTTTTTTTTTTTTTTGGGGGCCTCAGTGCCTTATTCCATCACTGTGCTGTTCCCTGCCTTGCTGTACACTTGGTTGCTTCAGTTTTAAATCTGGATGGATTTATACATTTTAAAGGCTAGATAAGTAATAAAAATGTGTACCTAGAATCATTTCATAAAGGTATATGAAGTGTATTATATATGGAGGAAAAACCTGTCTTGGCTGCTCTTCTCTACCAACTGCGTAGCAAAGATAAGCCAGGATTTTATTTTCTGGTACCAGTCCTGGCGTCACAGGAGAAAGACAAGCCTAGAGACGACATGTTCTGAAAATTCATTATCAGAAAGGGAATGGAAAAAACAGAAAGGGGCATATAAAAGGCACAAAGGTCTTCGGGGGAAAGCAGGACTGGAAATGCAGACCTTGGAAATGGCAGTGCAAATGAATATCAGCATTGATCACAGGAGGAAAAGGCTTCACTCTTTTTTTTCTTCAAGTGACCAAGGGTCTGATTTCTTCTTCATTTAAATCTTTCATAGCCCTGAGTTTTTCCTTAAAGGGTGAAGGAGGGAAAGAAAGAGAAAGGGAAAAAGCATCCCTGAATTATCCAGAGTGGAAAAGGCACGTTCTAGATTCTTTAAAACTTCTCCAGCTGCTACCATGCTAAGGGTACAGTATGTCAAAATCAGCTCAGGAATTGCTCTTTAATTAGGTGCAGAAACGCAGCTTTCCCAATATTAAGGCTTCCCCCTCCTCTCTTTATTTTGGCTTAAAGAATAAAGCTACAATTTGTGCACAGAATCACAATGATCCCGATGACTAGCTTCCCCCTTCTCCATATAAAAATGAATGATAGCAGGAGGAGGGGTTGGTCTCAGTTATTGGAACCCCACTGGGGATGTCTCATTGATAAATGTGCCGTTTTCCATGGGCTACTGTGTTTTCTGTTGCTAGAAGGGACTCTACGTTGGTATTATAAAATTAAACAGACTATTTCTGAATGCTGCAGTCCTTTTTGAAATCCTCTGTGAGGTATGTGCAGGGGAGAAATTATTTGTTCTCCTCCCGAAACAGCAAAACAAAAGCTGTTTTCATGGAATCATGACTAATTCCCAAATCATACTGGGAAATGCAACGTCTCAAAAAGCAATCTCCCCCCTCCCCCCCAAAAAAAAATAAATCCCGTTATCAGACTTCAGTGGAATAAAATTCACAACCCTTGCAACACTACAGCAATAATTAATTCACAGCTCTGATAGTTTTCCAATTATTAACCATAAAAACAAACCAAAAAAACATTAATCATGTTGCTCTACAATTTCCCGAATACAGCCCAGCACTTAAACCTGCCCTTCTGTAGGCAAACAGTTGCACAAGTATTGTTTGGGTTTTGTTCTTTTTTGAACGCAATACGAGGTATTTCCTTAAGAAAATATAAAATCCTTCTAATATGGTTATCATTTAGTCCCATTAGCTTAATAGATCATATCTGAGCATAGTTTTCTGGCCTTAAAATAAACGTTCTTATCCAATAAAAAGCTTTGACTAAGAAATTTGAGTCCCTAGAGATCTGAACGTCAGTGGGCCAAGATGTGCTTTATTCGCTCGCACCACAGGAACAGACTTTAGCTGGACAGAGACAGCTTCTTGGAAGTCTACAGGTCTCATTTCCCACCTTCTGAATTTCCACGCTCTGGCAAGAATTTAGTGTCTCGTTTTAAAAATGGCAGGTTTCCCTAATAAGCTTTCTAATTTTTTTTTTTTCTCCTTGTTACTCTTAGAGAAAATTCTAGCTGGCCTTAGATAGGTAAGGCTGCTAAGGAGAGGAACCAAAAGAATGAATATCAATATTTTGTTAATATTAATGCACACTTAATGGGGAAGAGTGCTCTTTTTTTTTTTTTCTTCTTTTTTACAGCATTTACAGCTTGACTCAAAATTCAGACAGCCTAACTCAGTCTTAATGAACTCCAACATTATATATTATTCTTAATCACGCATTAAAAACATGCGCCTACTGAAAGGTCTCCTTTAACTTCAAGTGTCATCTTCCCTCATTAAAAGCTTTTACGGAACCTTGTGACTTCCGTCGGGAGCGGCGTGTCCCTTGCTGCTCCTGGGGGGCCTGGACCGGAGGATGGGATGTCCTTCAGCCCGAACAAAGGCAATGGCAGAACCGGTCGCCTTATCGCCAGCTCCTCCTCCGCTGGGGCTGGGGGAAGCAGGTCCCTCCTCGATCCCTCTCCTTTGTCGTGGCCGGCAGCACCCAGCAGCTCCAGCTCCAACCCCCCAGGTGCCCGCACTGCCCCGGCCACCCCGCTGGGCACATGTAGACCCTCGGAAGCCCCATAGATCTTCCCTCTGCGAGTCCCTTCCGATAGCAAGGCTAGCTCTTGTACCCCACACCCCAGCTTCGATTCCAGCCCGAGTCCGGGGTATTTCCCTCTTTTCCCGAGGGCTGGTGGGAGGAGCTGGACGTGCGGGCGAGCCCTGGCCCCAGCACCCGGCCGGAGCCAGCAGGGCCGGCCTTGCCCGC